GGACGGGCGCGCCGCCGCGCTTCCCAAGCGGCGCACTATCCAGTGCGCCACTGGGCCGGCCCTGATGTTATGTTTTTATAGTTGTAAATCAGTTGATTTGTGGGAGAGAGTGACGCTGGGGACTGTTTATTCCACTCTCTTGACCGGAAGTCCTCATTAGCATACAAAAGACACTGTTCATTCAAGGGATTCCAAGGGTTATAGTGGTTCTGTGCCAGGAACCTTGGCTCGGGCATCCTGTGGCTCTGCTCCAGTCTCGCCTTCCCCAGAGCGCCAGGATCAGGTGGAGGAGTAGTGCACGAGCTTCCTAATTTTCAGTTGATTTTTGACCAGGGTACCAAGTCATCACAATAGGGAAAGGATAATCTTTCAACAAAAGGTGCAACAATTGGGTAGCCATATGCAAAGAAATGATTCTCAAGCCTTACCTCACACTATATAGAAAAAATAACTTGAATTGTATAGTAGAACCTAAATGTAAGAGCTAAAAGCATGAAACTTCTAGAAGAAAGCGTAAAATAATCTTTAGTCTCCCTGAGTTGAGCAAAGATTTCTTAAATTGGATACAAAAAGCATGAACTATAATTTTTTTTTGATTAATGAACTCATTAAAAACTTTTCTTTAAAAGACAGTGAAAAGACAAGCTGCATACTGGGAGATAGTATTTGCAAGACAATGGATTCGACTTGTAGCTAGAATATATATAAGAAATTGTATAACTTAACAGTAAGTCAGACTATCCAATAAGAAAGTGGTAAATATTTGAGTAGATACTTCAGCAAAGGAGATGTACAGATGGCTAATAAGCACATGGTAAGATACTCAGCATGTCAGGTCATTAGGAGATACAAATTAAAACCACAGTGAGATACCACTAAAACCCACTAGGATGGTTAAAATTAAAAAGACAAGGTGTTGGCAAGGACATGAGCAACTATAACTCGTATATTGCTGAAGTGAATATAAGAAAATATCCCTTTGTGAGTTCAGTTTGGCATTTCTTTAAAAGTTAAGTATACATCTACTAGACAGTCCAGCCATTCCATTCCACAGTATTTACCCAGGAGAAATGAAAGTGTATGTCTCTACAAAAACTTGGGTGTTAATGTTCATAGAAACTATATATGTAATAGTCCAAGCTGGAAACAATTCCAGTGTCCATCAACACATGAATAGGTATTCAAATTTTGCTGTACCCTTACAAGGAAATACTACTCAGCAATAAAAAAGTTTTTGATGCTGGGGCCGGCCTGGTGGCCGGCCCGGTGGTGCACTGCTACAGTGCGCTGCTCGGGAGCACGGCGGCGCTCCCGCCGAGGTTTTGGATCCCACATACAGACCGGCCGCTCACTGGCTGAGCGAGGTGCGGGTGCAACACCGAGGGTTGCGATCCCGTTGCCGGTCCCGGTCCGGTATGGGCGCGACACTGAGGGTTGCGATCCGTTGCCGATCACGAAAAAAGACAAAAAAAGGAAAAAAAAAAAAAAAGTTTTTGATGCTGCCAATAATACAAATGGGTTGAAAAATACACTGAGTAAAAGATGCCAAACAGATAAGAATTCATAGTATATGATTTCATCTACATAAAGTTCAAAAAAATGCAAAATAATCTAGTGACAGCCAACCCATCGTGGTGTGGAGAGTAACATGGAGAGGGGGAGAAAGAGTGGATTACAAAGGAGCGTGGGGAAATTTTGGAAGTGAGGAATATATTTACTGTCTTGATTTCATGAGTGTATAACAGACAAATTTATTGTACATCATTGATACAAATGCAGAAATAGATCAGTTACGTGAAAAGATGCCCAACATTATTAGTGATTATAAAGATTTATAGGAAAGATTTTGTTGTTTTTTTTTCTGTTACAACTTATTTTGGACGAGGGTAGAGAATAGTTTTCCTTATCCTCAAATTCACAGCTGGCACAGGCAACTGAAATGTTATATATGCGTTTGGACACAATGAATACTACATGCGTAGACAGGTACAGTAACTGCCTTATTTCTA